AATAATAATAATAATAATAATAATAATAATAAAGTGATCTTAAAATCCTTATATTACTTTTTTGTGTTCTTTTGAGATGTAATTGTAATCAAAATAAAATCAATAATTAATGATGGGTATACCTTTTTGTTTGCTAGATGGATTCTGTTATTTTGATGGTTAAAGGACAATATTTTGTTGAAATGATGGGTATACCTTTTGTGTGCTTCAAATCCACAAGTAATGGCATCATAGATAAGTAATACGTAGTGAATAGAGTGTTGATCCATCATGACTTGTAATTAGCTATTCCACATACCTTTTGCCATTAGGTCTGTCCCTAGCAACTGAATACAATGGCACCGCATGTGATGGTGGCAAAGCGGCATTATCAATATCTCCTAAACTCCAATTAGTAGTATTCTTCAAATCCAACCATTTACGAGTTCCTAGGGTATTGCACCAAATTAAATGTCCACCACAGTACTGAACATGTGCTGATTGACTTTTCTAGATCTGCACAATCCTGTAAAATATATAATTGAGACCTTTTATGTTCCTCCAATACAACTTGGGCACCCTTACAGATTTTCAAAACTCTATGTCCACCAAAAAACTCATAACCCTTTGAATCAGGGACAGACAACGAGATGAGATTCTTCTTCAAATTCGGAATATGTCGAACATGGCCAAGTGTTCTAATTGTCCCATCCAATAACTTCAATCTAACTGTACCAATCTCAGCAACCCAACAAAGTGTATTGTCTATCATAACCACGACACCTTTGAAACAATTTTATATGTAGTAAACAAGTCCTTATTATGACATATATGAAACACATACGCTGAATCAAGAATCCAATCATCCTCTAATTTAGACTCAATGTCAAAAATAGCCAAGAGATCCTCCCCACTTACAATATTCTCTGCGAGGTCTACTTCACATGAAGTCTCTGATTGTTTCCCATATCGACTTGACCAAACTTTCTTTATTCTGCAATTTATAGTAATCCTTCTTCAAGTACTCATTCTTCTTGTAAAAGTTAC